TTTGTTTGTTTGTTTGTTTGTTTGTTTGTTTGTTTGTTTGTTTGTTTGTTTGTTTGTTTGTTTGAGATATAGTCTTTTTTATTTTGCATGCATTAAAAAGATATTTGTTCGTTATGGGGAGGCCTCATAACAAAAGTTTTCATTGAAGCAAATAATGCTGCTGTAAACCATCTTCTATTTGCATGCATACATGCATGCATGCATGCATGCATGCAATTAGAACAGAGCACGCATGCAAGTAGAAGAAGATTAATGCAAGTAAAATAAGATGCATGCAGTTAGAAGAAAATGTATGCAGTTAGAAGAAGATGCATGCAGTTAGAAGAAGATGCATGCATGCATGCATGCATAGTTTTTCTTCGTTGTTTAATGAGGACGACGATTTAATACATTAAAGAAAAAACAAAAAAAAGAGAAATACAGAATTGTGTTTATGCACAGCGAAGTATTTATATTTTTTTGCATTTGTTTTTGTTTATTCAGATAAAAAATAAACAAAAAGAAAAACAAAAGAATACTTTCTTTTCTTTTCTTTCTCTCTTGCATCGGCATCAAAAGAAGATATGAGGGTGTAAATGCCTTCAATCAACACAAATAGTGTAGCAGCATATATGTACATACATATATTGAAACGTATATATAAACATATATATATATATAAGTATGAATGTTTTTATATATATATTTATATATATATATATATATATATATTAAATGCCGTTTCACTTGATTATTCTTTTTATATCAGCAAACGAGAAGAAGGAGAGCAGCCGCCTCCTCCTCCAAATTTTTAATTATAAATTACAACGAAGACAACACACGGCAACACCACCAACAACTATTTAAACCATCCGCACCTTTCGGAGGCTTATATATATATATATATATGCATATATATATATATATATATATATATATGCGTGTATACGTATATACACATAAATATTCTATGATGCACATACAGGAAATAAATTTGGCACATCTTAGTGGCCCATTTACATTATAATATTGCGCGATATAATATATATATATATATATTATAATATATCTATATATGTATATATATAATATACGCGTATAATATTTCTACCCTGTATGTGCGCTGGATACACGAACAGGGCATAAGTATGCGAGACATACGAGATAAAAGGCATATATATAACTTAGATATATAATGCATATAATAAATAAGAGGAAGATTTACCCCTCAATGGGGGCCGTAGCATTGAATAACTAGGGAAGGCGTTTGCAGATAGTTTTATCTTTGTAGATACACCGCATGAAAGGTAATATTAGGGAGATAATTTGGAATTAAATGAATTTGCATGCGTCAACAGAGGGAGAAAAACTTAAAGAAGAAGGAAAAGAATTTCATTCATAAAGTTGAATACTTCAGGTGTATGCGCAGCTCCTTGAATTACCTGCAGGCGGGCTTACTACTCACCAGCAGGTGTTTCCTTTGTGTCTCAGACCCCTCGAGCCATTTAAAAACAACAGAATGAAAGAGAAAAACATAAATAATATATATTTAATTTTATATAAGCCATTCGACGTTGCTGATAAACAAGACACAACGGCCGCGCCGAGCGAGAGAAGATTCTGCACAGCCAGCGGTAGCAGGGGAAACAAAGAATCTGATGGTAAAGAGAGGCCTAGGGCTTTCTATTTTTGTTCATTTTTGAAGATATTGTCTTTTTATTTTGATCTGATTGAATTTAAACGAAGATTCCTCAGGAAAAAACAGAGTTTCCTCTCTTGAGGCGGCCGCGTCTGCACTCGGCTCGCTGGAGTGTACAGGCAGCTTCCGTCGTAGGTTTCGTCTGCTGAGGGTGGATTTCGTGTTATTTTTGTTGTCCTTCTATTTGTTGTATTTGCTTTTGCCTCTTCTTCTTCCTTGAGAGGAAGAGGCCCTGCATATTTTTACTGCTTTCTCCCCTCCCTCTTCCTGACAGCTCAGGAAGTTGAATTATTCACCGAAAGCGCCACCGCTAGAGGCGCGACGGAGGCCATGTGGGCGCCTCAGGCTGTCAATGGCCCCTCCCCGATGGACTTTGAAGCGGCGCCTTCTTCTCGCGCTGCGTTCAACGAGGCTACTGGGGGCTCTGCTGCTGCTGCAGGAACAGCTGCTGCTGTTCCTGCAGCACGGCGAGACAGGCCAGGGGCTTCTCCTCTAGAAGGCCTTCTTGACTTTGACAGCAGTGAATTGCCCCCTCGAGACCCTCTCTGTGCGTCTCCTGCTGCTGCTGCTGCTGCTGCTTCTCCTCTTCCTTATGGGGGGCCCTCAGTGGTCTCTCCCTTCCCAGACTCAGCAGCTCCTGCTCGCTTCTCTGAGGCCCCCTGGCCTGCTTCTCCCATTGCTGCTGCAGCAGTCTCTCCTCTCTCTCCTGCTGCTGCTGCTGCTGCCTTCGAGACCAAGCAGCAACAGCAAATAAGCACTGGGGGCCCTTCCCCTTGGAGTGACGGCTTAGAATCTCGGGGCCCCGCATCGCCTCTGAGAGGGCCCCCGGGGGCCCCCTCAGAAGGACCTACGAGCAGCGTTACACAGCTTGAAAACACAGAGGGAGGCTGGCAGCAGCAGCAGCAGCAGCAGCAGGGGCAGGGGGCCGTCGCCTCATTTGAAGCGCAAGGCCTGGCTGTGGAGAATCGCGAGCAGCAGCAGCCGTTTCAGCAGCAACAGCAGCAGCAGGAGCATCAGCAGGAGCAGCTGGATTCGTTTGATTGCTGGGGAGACTGGAGCGCTCCCCCGTTGCAGCAGCAGCAGCAGCAGCAGGGCCCTGCAGCCCCCCCGCCCTCTTTGGGCTCGAGTGAGGCAGCAGCACGAAGTGCAGCAGCTTCAGATCCGCACGAGACACAGCAGCAAGACCACGTGCAGCAGCAGCAGCAGCAGCAGCAGATGCTGCTGCAGCAACAGCTGCAGCAGCAGCTGCTTAAGCTGCAGCAGCTAGAAGCCGAGCCTTTAGGAGACTCGCAGGGACAAGCGAAGGAGCACCGTGCTGCAGCAGATGAGCAGCAGCAAGATCAGCAGCAGCAACAGTGTCAGCAGCAGCAACAAGATCAGCAGCAGCAGACTACAGCCTCCCAACTGCAGCAAGGAGCCAGTGAAGACAGCCCATCTGCTGTCTCCAGTATGCTGCAGCAACCATCAGCAGCAGCAGCTACAGCAGGAATTGAGCACCAGCAGCAGCAGCAGCAGCAGCAGGACCTCTTTATAGGAAACGGGGTTCTGGCGGGGCAGCAGCAGCAATCTGCTAGGTCAGAGCAAGAGCACGAGCAGCAGCAGCAGCAGCAGCAGCAGCAGCAGCACGATAGCGCTGGTTCTGGAGCAGCAGCAGATCTGGCAGCCCGTGATGTATGGGCCCCCTCTTCTGCAGAGTATGCAGCAGCAGCAGCAGCACCTGCAGCAGCAGCACCTGCAGCAGAAGCAGTGGCACCTGCAGCAGCATCAACAGCAGCAACTGCTGCTGCTGCAGAAGGTCTAGGAGCTGTAGCGACAGACGGAGTCAGTGAGGGTTTGCTGCTGCTTGCTGCTGACTTGAAGGGAGAGAAGCAGCAGAAAGAAGCAAATAAAGAATCATGTGAGGCGGCAGATGGAGAGACACTCCAGCTGCGGGGACACCCAGCTGTTACTGCAGCAGACGCAGACGACGCTGCTGCTGTGGGGCCCCACAGCGGCCTCTGGCACCCTCCTCAGCATGAACAACAACAAGCAGCAGCAGCAGCAGCAGCAGCAGCAGCAGGAGGGTCCCCTTTGCTGCTGAGCGTCGGCATTCGAGGGGAAGCCTGCGCTGCTTCGGAGGGTGAGGAGAGGAAGCTCTCATCAGGGTCGGTGCGGCAGCAGGAGCCCAGCAGCAGCAGCAGCAGCAGCAGCAGCAGCAGGCCCTTGCCTTTAGGGGCTCTCAGCAGCAAAGACAGCGCATGCATTTCCTCTGAAGACCACCGAGGGCTTTGTCGTAGCTCCAGCGATTTGCAGTCGGCGTTCTCTCCACCTGAACAGCCACCAACACCAGATTGTGCTGCTGCTGCTGCTGCTGCTGCTGCTGTTGCTGCAGGTGAAGCAGCAGAAGCAGCAGCAGCAGCAGGGGAAGACGGCAGTTTCCCCTCTGGACAGCAAGAAGCGGAGGAGCCGAAGTCGCAGCAACAGGAAGCCCTTTCACCACCCGCTTCAACAGCAGCAGCAGCAGCAGCAGCAGCAACAGCAGCAGCAGCAAGTCGAGACACCACTTCGGATGGCAGCGAAGCACCTCAGGAGGTGCAGCCGACACAGACAGCGTTTGATCCCGCTGCAGCTGCCGCACAACAAGAGCAGCGGCAACAGCAGCAACAAGAGCAGCAGCAAGAGCAGCAGCAGCAACAGCAGCAGCCGCAGCAGCAGCAGCAGCAGCAGCAGGGTGTCACTGGTGGGGCTGCAAGTCGGTTGCTGCGCGCTTTGCCTTTTAATTTTGTTTTACGGGGGGGAGGGCCGAAGCAGTCTCCACCTTCAGCAACAGCAGCAGCAGCAGGATCTCCAGCAGCAGCAGCAACAGCAGCAGGATCACCAGCAGCAGCAGCAGCAGCAGATGCTGGGGTGGCCTTGCAGGGCCGTACAGAATTTGAACGGCTGCTGCAAGAGGGGCGCAACACACCGACGAGCAGCAGCAGCAGCAGCGGAGCGACAGCAGCAACAGCAGCAGGATCACCAGCAGCAGCAGCAGCAGCAGCAGGAGCAGCAACCGAATTAGCTGTCATGGCGAGCGGGGCAGCAGAAACACCCCCCCCACCACCACCACCACCAGGAGCACCTGCATCAGCAGCATCAGCAGCAGCATCAGCAGCAGCAGCAGGAGGTCAGCCTCGTACTGCATACAGTTTATTCTTAGAGCGGCTGAAGCACCCGTCTTGTAGTGCTGCTGTCTGCAGCATGCGTCGCTTCGTTGAATCCTTCCCTGTGGGGCTTTCGAGTGCAGCAGCAGCAGATATGCTGCATACATTTGCTGCGAAGGTGCTGCTAATGCTGCGACAGACTGAAGCTTTTGCTGGGCTTGAAGAGACACCAGAGGCAGCAGCAGATGGAGGTGAAGCAGGCGAAGCTCTTGAGAAGTTTCTTATTCAGAAACTCTATGCGCTTCTTCCTAAAGAGACAAAAGAAGATGTGCAAGAAGACAAAATATTATGTGAAAAGATCCAGCTGCTTTCTTGGGTGCAGCCGAAGCACTTAGAAATACCCGATTGGAATGACTCTCCTGCAGCAGCAGCAGCAACAGCAGCAGCAGCAGCAGCAGCAGCAGGAGCAGCAGCAGGAACAGCAGCAGGAACAGCAGCAGGAACAGCAGCAGCAGCATCACCAGAAGGAGGGACAGAAGCAGCAACAGCAGCAGCAGCAGAAGGAGGAGAACCAGCAGCATCACCAGGTACATCAGCAGCAGCAGCAGAAGCAGCAGGAGCAGCAGCAGGAGCAGCAGCAGCAGCAGCAGCAGGGGGTCTGTTAAACTTTGATGCAGTGGTGGGCTCTGCTGCAGCAAAGCTGCAGAAGATGCATTTAGTAAGGGCTCCTCGGGATAAGCTTCGGCTTGTTTTATTTGCATGCAAGCTGCTGATGTCAGCCCTAGAGCAAAGGAAGCAAACAGCACCTGCAGCAGACGATTTGCTGCCTCTGCTGATATATACTTTAATTAAGGCGAACCCTCCAAAGCTATACAGCAACATTCAGTTTGTTGCAGTGTACAGACACCCGAATCGCATGCACGGCGAAGAAGCATACTTCTTCACGCATCTTTGCTCTGCTGCTGCTTTCATTAAAGCTGTTGGTGTATCTCCGGGGGTGCTTCTGTGTATTGACCCCGAAGAATATGCAGATAAGATGCGAAAAGCGCAGATAAACCTCAAACTGCAACAGCAGCAGCAGCAGCAGCAGCAGCAGCAGGGGCAGCAGCAGCAGCAGCAGCAGCAGCAGGGGCTTTCTCCTGCTGCACCTGCTGCTGCTGAGGGAACGGCAACAGCACTTGCTGCTGCAGCAACAGCACTCAGCACCCTCAAATACCTGAGGCAGGGAGACGAAGATACAAATAAAGAAGCTGAGGTGTCTGTGCAGCATGTTGGGGTTTCTTTGCTGCAGCGGCAGCAGCAGCGGCAGCTGCAACTGCAGCAGCAGCAGCTGCGGCTGCTGCTGGCTCAAGCAACCAACGCCCCTCGCACATTCTGCGGTGTACGTACAGCAGCAGAATTAAAAGTAGGAGACTTAGAAGCTTTATTAGGAGAGTATAATGAATTAGTAGGGGTTATAGACAGAGCAGTGCTGCTGCTGCAGCAGCAGCTAAGGCTAGAGCAAGAAGCTAGCTCCCTGCAGCATGCAGCAGCAGCAGCAGGAGCAGCAACAGCACCTTCGGATGGTTCGAGTTAATTGAGGGGTTGTCGGGGAGAGAGAAAGAGAGAAGAAAACATAAAATATAAATGCATGCATTTGCAAGCCTAGAGTGTATTTGCTTGTTTATTACTTTTGTTTGCTTTTCTCTTGTTTTGCTTATTTATTTATTTTGTTTATTTGCGTCAAACAATCGAACAACTTACCTAAAAGGACTTGGCGATTTCTCCTTCAGGGTCTAGGGTTTAGGGTTTAGGGTTTAGGGTTTACAGGATGGGGTGTAGGGTTTAGGGTTTACAGGATGGGGTGTAGGGTTTAGGGTTTTAGGGTTTAGAATTTACAGGATGGGGTTTAGGGTTTAGGGTTTACAGGCTAGGGTTTGGAGTTTAGAGCTTTAAGGTTAGGGTTTAGGGTTTAGGGTTCAGGGTTAACAGGATAGGGTTTAGGGCTAGGATTTACAAGCTAGGGTTTAGGGTTTACAAGGGTAGCTGATGATGTTGAAAGAAAACCCTCAGCATAATAAACAAAGTAATTATAATCAAAAAGAGAGACAAGCAGAGACAAAGACAGAGACAGCGATATGCAAAGAAAATAAACAAAGAGAGATCATCAGAAAGAAAGAAAGACAGAAAAATAAAAATAAAAATAAAGACAAAGAGAGACAAATACAAACAAATAAAGACAAAGAGAGAGAAATAAAGACAAAGAGAGACAAATAAAAACAAAGAGATACAAATATAAACAAAGAGAGACAAATAAAGACAAAGAGAGAGAAATAAAGACAAAGAGAGAGAAATAAAGACAAAGAGAGACAAATAAAGACAAAGAGACAAAAGAAAGACGAAAAAAATACAAACAAACAAAACAAAACACAAAGAGAGAGACAGACGTCCCCATAGAAAGAAAGACAAATGAAAAGAAAAAGAAAATAAAAAAAAATAAAAAAAAAGAAAAATGAAAGACAAATGAGAAGAAAGACAAAAGAAAGACAGAAGAGAAGAAAGACAGAAGAAAGACAAAAGAAAAGAAAGACAAATGAAAAACAAAATAAAATATTTATTTATTTAAAAAAAAAGAAAAATGAAAGACAAATGAGAAGAAAGACAAAAGAAAGACAGAAGAGAAGAAAGACAGAAGAAAGACAAAAGAAAAGAAAGACAAATGAAAAACAAAATAAAATATTTATTTATTTATTTTTAATATAATATACACAAGTTTTTCTTCTTTGTATTTCTCTCTTCGTCTTTGATATGCACAGCCAAACAAACAGATTATTATTATTTTATTATTTTATTATTATTATTATTTATATTGTTATTATTTACTATTACTATTGTTTATTGCTATTATTTCATTACTTATTATTATTATTAATTATTACTTGTTATTATTTTTATGTTTATTTATTATTGTTATTATTTAATATTATTATTATATGCTACGATTATTATTATTAATAATACTATTATGCTGAGCATTATTATTATACACTTCCTATCTTTTATATATTATTATTTAGTTTTAAATATATTATTTTATTACTGTTGTTAACAGATATAATTATTGCTATTTATTATTATTTTGTGTTTATTCAGCAGCTGCAATACACACGTTGCTATCAGCTTTGTTAGAAGGGTAAAGGTAATTCATTTGTAATTCTTTTTAAGAGGATTCAGGAAAGACAAATATAAAATATTAATTTTAAAGACAAACGAAAAGATTAAGAACAAGAAAAAGAAAATAATTCAAACGCCCACCGCAACTGCGAGGTGTATAGACACCTCGCATATATGTATATGCACCTAAGAGGTGTACATACACCTAAGATATATAAATGCATATATGTATATATATACATATGTATATATATACATATATATATATATATACATGTATATATATATATATATATATATATATA